AGCATACGCGCGCTCCGGAACAGCGCCAGCCACGCGTGCAGCATACGCGTCTGCCGAAACCAGGCCATGATACAGCTGGACGCGGTAGTCCATAATGACCAGCAAGGCACCCACTCGCCTTACACTCGCGTACATGTAATCACATCACACGTGCTACTGTAATACATAAAAGAAAACATTAAAAAGTCTCAGTCGGAGCATGATTTCAAGAAATGCAGCACTACTCTTGGGACACCATTCACTTTTCTAGGGCACCATATACTGAGCTGCGGCTACACGACAACCTCTGGTATGGTGCGATCCTCATGTAAAGTTAAATACGCTCTTCAATGTCAAAACTAATGTGATTTATACTTCAATTTCGTCAGTTATACTTTGTTTTCCGCAACTAATTAAAGAGTCAAACACTTATTTTTACAAAATATTTTTAAGACAATGTTTAGGATAAATTTGCTTTCCTCGTGTATCAAATGGTGATCTCTAGCAGCGGCAAATAATGTGTCTGTGGCGTCATAAGCCCACAGCATACTTCCACTCAAGAGCGAGCACCACTGCACCACGCCTTCCAGTATACCCTCAACATTAGATCCCAATTTTGTCGAACACATAATACTTGGACATTAGAATACAAAAATACTAATTAGGATTTTTAATTCATAGCACGTTAAAGTTAAGCATTTTTTTGGTTTATTGTTTAAACATGTTGAACTTTAAAATTAGTCCATGTAAATTACACCAAATATCATATTATAACATAACTCGATCATATTAAATTTCCACTGAATGCAAAACTATAACTAATCTTAAAATACCTCCAACATTTCTTTCGACATTTTTACGTAAAGGAATAATAAATGTACTTGCGGGTTACTTATTATCAATTGAATGTTAATTGAACAAAAAGATTTAACTTTTGGCTTAAAACATTTCACTTTAAACTTTTACTCTACATTTTAATGTTATGTCAATGTCGTAAATAGTACAGCAAATTTCATTTCGACATTTAATAAAACAAAGACATCAACGCGAAGACTTTCACAAAGTTAATAACTATCACACTATTTGAAGATATATTATTATTTTGTTTATTAGTTGCTACGCTTTATTCTTGTGCGGGTAAAAGTGAATTAATTTTTGACAATATTAATACATTTTATGGTCACCCATAGCTTACTGTATATAAACTCGTGCTGGGTGTTGTTTCTATTTTTCCACAGATTATTAAACATGTAGCAGCTATTTTTAATTTTTATTTTTTATTTCGTTAGTTTTAGTTAGTGTCGCATCGGCTACAAGTCTTTCATCCAAAAATTGTAGTACACTGACAACTTTAATATTTTAAACTTTGTCAACGTAGATTTATTAAAATAGTCATATATAATATTAAAATAGTTTGTAAATGGTGTATTTCTGTAGCGATATTACCTAAATTGTATTTATTTTCCTCATTTTGTTATTTTGAAATCTTGTTTTTTTTTTATTTTTAGTTCTGTTATAATTTGTAATAACACTCGACTGGTGGGTGGGCATGATTGCCTTGTTGTAAGAAGTACATTTAATTTAGTAGTTAATTTAAATATATTATAAGTATATATTGTAATGGCTATTAATGATATAAGTGGCGATAGTGAGATGTTTTTTACTGCTGATGATGACAGTTTTTGTCTATGGTAAGTGATAGTGGAAGTTCTATTTCCACTCCTCTCGCAGAGTTTCTTGTTTCGCAGTTTTCTGATGTCCCTAACAACTTCAACGTTGTTCATATAAATGCACAGTGCATTCCGGCCCACTTCCCCGTTATTTTCTACGTGGTAGAGCCATGCTGCAGCTATATTATGGTTGTAGCACGAATGGGTCGGCTCGACCGGGGAAGGACCACGCTCTCACAGAAAACCAGCGTAAAATAGCAGCTTAACGCTGCTGTGTTTCGTATGGTGAGTGTAGAGAACCGGAGACCCTTTTTACTGGCAAAGAGGCATTCCATCTTAGTCCTCACGGGTGACAACGCATCTGCATCTTGAGTCTTTATTGAGGATAGATGTAGATGTCTATGGGTCACAGTAACCACTTACCATCAGGTGGACTGCGTGCTCGTTTGTCACCCGATCCTATAAAAAAATGCTGACAACTTTTACTTGTAAAAATATACATGCTGTTCTTATTTCTGAATCGTGGCTGAAGCCCTGTCTTCCCTCTACCTGTTACAATCTTTCTGGCTTCCAATTGATACGAAACGATCGCTCGGTAGGTGGCGGTAGAGGTGTCGCCATTTATCTACGTTCACACATTCCTTTCACTATTGTCGATGTATATGCACAACCACTGCCGCCTGATGCCGGTGAGCATCTTTTTATTGAAGTCACACTATCTCACTCTAAAGTTCTTCTTGATGTTTATTACTGCCCTTCTATGCGTATTAAATTCTTCAACTCATTCCAAAATATCTTAGATAAACTTACTCCCTCCTATTCACATACGATTATAATGGGCGACTTTAACACTTGGTTACTTAAACAGGATGTCAGGGTTTCTTCTCTTCAGTCAATTTTATATTCTAGTAATCTCTCTATTTTACCGTTAAATGGCACGCATCATTTTCCAAACTCGACGCCCTCTCTCTCCTTGACCTTATTTTTATTTATTTATTTATTTATTTAGAAAACCAACAGCGTATATAGAAAATATTAACATTAATGTAACAAACTAAAAGTATGGCCAATAACAGGTTTCCCTTATATTGTTTGATGGTTGGTGTATTGTTGTTAGAAGAAAAGGAAAAAGAACAATCTAGTAGATAAATTATAAGCAAAATTATAAGCAATTCAATGTAATGAAGGTGGTCATAAGTTTACAGATCAGGAGAGATAGTCAGGTAGAATGATATATTACATTACCTTTATATATATATAAATATATATATATATATATATATATAAACATATAAGATATATATATATATACATACATATATATTTACTTATGTATTTATACATATTAAATGTTTAAATATATAAACATAATACAAATAATTAATTATAATATATATTAAATAAAATAACTTAAGTACTTATATTTATATTAGTAGCCTCAAAAATACATATAGAAGAAATAGATGAGAGAATATATGATTGTATGTGATTTTAACTTCAACTGCTCTATTTCGTAATAGTTTTCTTGATGTAATCTTTAAACGTAAGTTTAGATTTCGCAAAGAGGTCAATGTGTCCAAATTGTTCATTATATGTACGAGCAAGCCGCGAAAGAACAGTGTTTCGACAATAGTTTGAATGATGCCAGGGAGTCTGTAACAATGTAGTATTGCGGGTACGGAATTTTGGAGTACGAAAGGTGATTCTTGAGACAAGATATGGACAGTCAAGGTGCCCCGTCAAAACAGCCCCGACAAAACAGCCCCCGACAAAACAGCCCCGACAAAATAGCCCACCGACAAAACAGCCACCGTCAAAACAGCCCCCGACAAAACAGCCCAAGTCAAAATAAATACCATACATATCTATAGAATTTATAACTATACTTATACCGTGTATCTACTTCAGTTGGCGATATATGGGAAACTTTTCTATTGTGAGTTTTAGCAAGAAATTATTCCTTATAAAAATTTATACTTTACAATTTGTTCATTCCAACTATTGCAAATGTATCTGAATAATGTTTTCTACAAATGATATCAAATTTAAAATTGTAAGTGGTGTAAAACGAATGTTAATACTTTACGTGACTTTTTTTGGTTCACTTTATGTATTTTTTGTTTTCAACAAAACTATTGCATCGTCTACACACGAAATAAAAACAAAAATAAATGTAGGTATAAAATTATATTATAATGTATATTTACAAACAAAATTCTACAAACTATATTCGTCAAAGGTTATTAATTACAAAGGTTACAATTATTAATAATTATTATAAAATAAAAATAAATGAAGTTATATAATAATATATCAATTTATAATGTCAGATTGTTGGAAATTCCACGGAGATACGGTAAAAGGTCGTCGTTGTTATAATTTCCCATAAGAGTTTCCAATCGACGATTAAGTTGCACATACTTCTTTTTTGAAGCTTCGGGATTTCTGAAGCCGGCTCGAAAACGTTCCAACTCTATTTCTACCCGGTCTTGTTCCTTCCTGAAGTGGTCTATTAATTTGAAAATACATGGATGGTGACAGTCAACGGTGTGTTGGAAAGCATGATGCCATCCTTCTACAGAGTTGTTTGTACGCGGAAGGCCCTGGTGCACTCTATCATGAACATTCCATACATGAATAGGAAATTTTGGATCTGCTCTCCGATTTCTTCTTTGCCGTCCTATATAAGTATCTTCCCAGTAATCGATGACTGCATCAATTTCTCGTGGACAGCTTTCGGTTAGCTCCTCAAAAGCAGTGATTACGTCGCCCTCTTGGACAAAAGATAACGCTAGTAACATTTTCAAATGCATTCTCACATTTTCGTCATTGCGATATTCTTCTACAAGATGTAGCTCTTGGATTTTCCTCCATAAACACTGCCCTAAGTGGAATAAACAACCCATCACCTGAACACCATGAAATACCTGGCAAACTGCATTTTGGATCGCTTTCTCGAAGTCGGATAAGCAGCTTATTGGATTTAAAGTGGGTTTCAACTCCATCAATTTTTGAAACACTCGAACATATGTTTCTTCTCGTTTATCCTGTAGAAGCACGTAAATCAACGGAATATAACGGTTATCTACCAATGCATGAATGGTAAATACTTGTAAAAATAATTGTGGGGCTACTTTAAAGGTTCCATCTACGTGCCAGTGCCGGTGCTCCTCTAAAACTTCCAAATTTTCTTCAGTACCAAACATGAAGATGCGATGAGGATCATTCTGTCCAGAATCCCATAACAAGAAATTTAGATTTCTTGAAGTGACTTGTAGTGCAACAGGAATATTAATATCGGCAACAGAGCCTGGGTTTGGGCACGACACTTCACGCCTTTGCCGAATACGCTCAACAGTTCTCTGAGATGCTTTTGTACGATGGCAAATGGACTGATGCTTCCAAATTTATCCCTCTTGTCGATCCTTGAATCAACTGCCTTGGTTTCTCAAGGGTGTCCGCTGCTCGCCTTTTCATATTAGACACAGATTTTTTTGCTTCATTTTTAGCTGGATCTGGAGCATGACTGTGTCGAGTCACATTTACCACGACATTTTCCAATGACACTTTGACACGTCCTCGGCAAGGTGTCTCGGCGCATCTCCATGATACACTGCCATCGGTATTAGTTCTCGCCTTACGATACCGGTACCCATCGCTCAACAGTAAATCTTTGCCTTTCTGCGATTGAATAAGTTCCATGATCTTCACCAGACAAAATTCTACAAGACTATAGTTATTTTGTGTGTCCCGATGTTCTTATATATTACTGCTAACGGCCGAAACGTAAATCCTCCCCTTCTTGGAACCTACTCATAATAGGTATAGTCCGTTCATCGGTTTAAGAAACTAACTTTTCTTTTACGGGGGATTATCCCCTTACCTGGTGCTGCAATTATAGAACAATTAAGTAATTTATTAACACTTCCCATGTATTTCTAAATGACCCATACTCGTTCAATAGCAATAAGAGGATTATCGCCGCAAGAGGTACAATAGGCATTGTAAACACATTACAAATTACTTTGTATTTCTAAATGACCCATACTCGTTCAATAGCAATAAGAGGATTATCGCCGCGAGAGGTACAATAGGCATTGTAAACACATTACAAATTACTTTCTTAAAGCGATGAACGGACTATAAGTTATTATAACATTTATTCAAATCTGCTAATCGGCTGAAACGTAAATCGCCCCTTCTTGGAACCTACTCATAATAGGTAAGTTAATTAAATTGAAAGCTGAATATAAAATTCCACAATATATTCACAGAAATAATTATTATTATTATATTATATTTTCATTATGTAATATACTCTGAAGATAAAAAGCACGATTATCAATGCAACTAGCAAAGTAATAATATTATACTACCTGTTTACGGGCTGTTTTGACGGGGGCTGTTTTGTCGGTGAGCTGTTTTGTCGGGGCTGTTTTGTCGGGGCTATTCTGTCCGGGGCTGTTATGTCGGGGAACCGGACAGTCAATATTACTGTTTATTATATCATATAACAAAGCCATGTCAAGCAAAATGCGCCTGTGTTCCAGAGATAAGAGATCGTGCTCAGTGCAACTGTCTGTGTAAGTATCGATTTTATTCCGATAGCGAAAGTTAAGGTGATTAACAAATATTTTTTGAATACGCTCAAGGCGGCTTTTGTAGACATTGTACTGTGGAGACCATATTGAACTAGCATATTCCAAAACACTTCTGACATATGCAAAATAAACCATTTTAATTGTATTAATATTCGAGAATGGTTTGCAGATGCGAAGAACAAAACCAAGATTTTTATAGGCTTTACTGATAACGTAATCAATGTGTTCGGATAGTATCAAATAAACGGTATGTAATATTCAAATAAACGGTCCAGGTCTTTTTGTATCAATAGGCAGTCATGTATGGTGTTAATTTTACAAAAAATCTTCTTATCATCTGCATACATGAGGTAATTTGTGTGTATAATGCACGAACCAATGTCATATAGGTAGGCATTGTAAAAAAGTGGACCTAAGTGAGAGCCCTGAGGAACACCTGTAGGTATGTTTATGTAGCTCGAACGGAAACCACCTATCACGACTGCTTGTGAGCGGTTTGTGAGATATGATTCAGTCCATCGGAGCAAGTCACCGTGAATCCCTAATATTTGTAATTTGTTGAGCAGGATCATGTGATCCACACGATCGAAAGCTTTTGTTTCCTCTTGTAACTTTGTCACGAAGCACGGTCAATATACGGCCAATGCATTTTCATTTCATGACCTAATCTTTCTATCTTATAAAACTCGATCTCCCAAATTTAAACCAAAAATGTTACTGCAGCGTAATTTTGGTGGCATGGATATAGACAGTCTTTGTAAGGATGCGTTGCTTTGGGACTGGTCAAATCTTTATAGCGCAGATAATCTGGATAATAAGGTCTCAATCCTTACTTCTGTCCTTATAAAAATCTTTGATGTGCATGCACCTACACGCGTAGTCAAAATGAAACATCGTCCATCACCTTGGCTTACTGATGATATTAAATCTATAATTAATAAAAAAGCGATAGCTAAGGCTAAGTTTAAACGTAAGCCGAATGCGTTTAATAGGGAAAAATATATTAACATTCGCAATCATTGCAATAAGGTGTGTAGGGATGCTCAACGCCTTCATATTCATAAGTCAGTCGAAAATTGTGATACGGCAAGGGTCTGGAAATTTCTTAAATCATTGAGTGTTGGGAAATCTAAGAATAGTCCAACGACAAAAGGTTTAAACGTTAATGGTTTAAATAAACATTTCTCTTCTTCGTCCTGTTTAGATAACACTACTAAGGCTAATACACTAACATATCTTTCAACTATTCCCACTCCCAATCATTCTTCTTTTGTTTTCAAACCATTCTCTGCTTGTGACATTAAGAAGAGCGTTCTATCTATTACTTCCAATGCAGTGGGAAGTGACTGTGTCAGTCGTAACATGATTCTTCCCATTCTCGATATTATTCTTCCTATTATTTGTCATATCCTTAACTTCTCCATTTCTACAAGTAGTTTTTCATCATCTTGGAAAAATGCTGAAATTATTCCTATTACAAAGAAAAGTAATCCTACATCCTTTTCTGAATATCGTCCTATCTCTTTACTGCCCTTCTTATCTAAAGTCCTTGAACGCCTTGTTTACACCCAGTTCAACAGTTTTCTTTGTGCGAATACTCTTCTTAATCCTTTACAGTCAGGATTTCGACCTGGACACAGTACTACCACAGCATTGGTGAACATCACCGATGATATCCGATTAGGAATGGAAAACGGTGAAGTGACTGTTCTTTGTTTATTACATTTCAGTAATGCTTTTAATACCGTTGACCATGATGTCCTACTCGGCATAATGCGCTCTCTTAACGTATCTCCAACAGCGATTGGTTGGTTTCAGAGTTACCTGTCTGGTCGCCAGCAACGTATACGTATCGACGATACATTATCATCTTGGTGTAACGTTCGTGTTGGTGTACCACAGGGAGGCGTTTTATATCTCCTTTACTTTTTGCAATTTTATAAACTCAATATCCAATAATTTAACTTCTTCCTACCACCTTTATGCAGATGGTCTACAAATATATACAAAAGCTTTTCCCAACGATCTCCCCAATGCTATCAATGTCGTTAATGCAGATCTCGATCGAATTCTTGAGTAGAGTAATGCATACGGCCTTCATGTTAACCCAGCAAAATCGCAAGCCATTATCATGGGCAGCGCGCAAATGTTGGCTAAGTCGAGCCTAGATTACCTGCCTCTAGTATTTGGTAAAACTATTATTCCTTACGCAGATTCAGTAAAGAACTTAGGTATCCACATACATAAGAATCTGTCGTGGGGACAGCACATCAAAGAAATTAATCGCAAAGTTTATGCCTCGGCAGCCTCCTTGCGTAGATTACGTAACTTTCTTCCCATTTCCACCAAAGCTAGGCTTGCCAAGTCCCTTCTCTTCCCTATTTTTGATTACACAGACGTCAGCTATCTAGATCCCACCGAAGCTCACCTCGATAAACTTGAGCGAATTCAGAAATTTTGCATAAGGTTTATATTTGGATTGCGCAAATATGACCATGTATCTCTTTTTCGTACTAAGCTCAAGTGGTTGCCAATACGACTTCATCGGAAGGCTCATATACTTCATCTTCTCTATAGTGTTCTCTTTAATCCTTCTTACCCTTCTTACCTCAAAAATCGTTTTGAGTTTCTTCATGATTCCCATTCACGTAACTTGAGATCAGCAGAGAGTTTGAAATATGTTTGTAGTATGTGTATGTATAATATGTTTGTATGTGTTTATTCTTTTTTATCTCTTTTTTTCTCTAACACACCAATTTACCCTGCCCTTGTCATATTCGTGCAATCCTGTCCATTCATTGGTTGTCTGGAAGAAATTGCTATCAGCAATAAGACCGCCCATTGCATACTTCTTTTATATATATATATATATATATATATATAATTTCTGTAATTTATGTATGGTGTGCAATAAAGAATATTAAATCAAATAGTCAGGTGAAAAATGGGCATTCTTCTTTTCGTTTATTACTAAAAAAGGACAACTAATATCAACTGTGTTACGGCCTACAGCTGCCCTTGCAAATATCGAATATCCCGGGGCCCATGAGCGGAAGATTCAACGAGCAGCTGCAGGTTCGAGCCCGAATGGCTATATGGAAAATGTTCTATCCTACTACAATTTAATGGGGAGGCTTGTCAAATAGAGAGTATTAAGACTTACCTGTATCTGAGGCGACGACTGCCTCAAGGTTCGGTCAGGCAGGAGGTGTGTATGTGTCGCGTGTATGGTGATGGTTTTGTGGTGTGGATGTGATTGACCTGAGTGGACCGGTGAGGTCGGCAGCTACCCGGACTCCGGCACCGCTCCAAATTATAGTAATCTCCAGCGGCGTCACCCACGGTCAATTTCTTTCTTCTTCACTATGTCAGTCTATTAACTTTACCGTACAATTAACTAACTTCAAGACGCAACTAACTCCCGGTTTTTATAAAGCGTAACACACAACACGAATACCGAATATTCGGATCAAAGGTCACTTCCGTTTCGCTTGGCAACAATTATTTCTAGAACCTAACACGACCTTCTCTAGTGTCACGAAGTTCAGCGTTCAACCGACAACCGAAAATGTTTCCGAACTATATCAAATGCCGCACGAGCAAATTAATATTGTCAAATGCACTTATATACGCTATCAAATTAGAATAACAAAATTCGCGGTAAATTAGGCACGCACAGCACACAGTTCAGACGTTGATCGAAATCAATGTTAACTTCCTAACAATCTGTCCACCCGCCGTCTAATTCTAGACTACAATTCCTCGTCGTTGCACGATGTGCTAACACAACCGACTCTAAAAAATGGAGGTTTTCCCGAGCGACTTCACGACGTGTGATCAACCGCAATGCGTTCAAGCAACTAACTCGACCCCGCCGCCGGTAGGAACCAACCACGTGCAATCTCCGGACGCGGCCAGCTGGCAACAAAACTCCCTTTAACCGCCCACACTTCTACCGGTTATGAACGCGCCGTATCGAGCCGAGCGCCCTCCGGCGTCAAATCTTGAAACCAACGTTTGGGCGTGAACAAACTGAGTTATTCTTAATGAGTCCATCCTCATAGCTAAGCGGTCTTCGATTCGAACCTCACTTCACTTCGC